CTTAACTTCATTCATAGCATAGATAATTAAAGAGGATTAATAAAGTAGAACTTCCCTCACATTTTCAGTAGAATGCTCGGCTTAGACTTGAACTTGACTTTGAACGAAAACTCGAGGGCTCGACTCCTCGTAAAACTACATTCATTGGGGTCATGTCTTAGAGTCTTAAAATGGAACTTATACTTATACTTATACTTATACTTATACTTATAATCATACATAAGCTTTAGAAAAAAAAACTTTGCTCGCTTGGCTTCGCCTTGATTGCATTCTTTTGAAAACATTCTTACTTAAACCATTTGGACAATTGAACTCTTAGCTTGCTTGCTTACGGATACTATTCTAATTATCTAAGGTTCATCATGATCTCACTCAATGCTTTACAGCTCATACATGTCACATAGGCATGCCTAATAAACATAAGACTCACTTAAACAATTACACTTAGTCCTTTGACAAAACTTAACACGTGCTGCATTTTAAAATGAGCATATCTTTCAACATACAAGTCGCATTAACATGATTCAAGTCTCATATTTCTCCTAAGACATGGTACTACAACTTTCATTTAGCACTCAAAAGCAAATAAGGTCATATACATGGTCCAAAACCAGCAAACATTCAAAGCTGAAATGCTGTCCAGAAATTAAAAATAAATTCATGTGCAGTTTTACGAAAACAGGTATCATTCACTACTCGGATCATATTTTTGCTTGTTTTAAAAACCACATGAAATATAACACATAGAACTACAATTTCAATGAAGACTTCAGGTTCATTTGAGCACATTATCATATCATAAACACACAAAACATTCAAACCTAACTGCAACCGGATTTAAGAAAAACTGCTCGCGCAACAATTTAGTAAAAATCATAATTTTATCGTTTTAAGTCAAAATTGCACGATTTCAAAGCTCTTGTAAACACAACTGAACGAACTACATATCATATGAAGAACTCGAAAACCGAAAACACAATCTCAGGGGCCTAAACTGCTCCCGAACAGACAGTACAAAAATGACAATTACACATGAAATCATAACCTAATTATCCGAACTTCTTAACATGTCGAAAGCAACATATAATCGATGATTCTAGGCACGTTCATCACATAACAAAACATGATCAACAATACATACATTGACAACAACTAACCCTATTCACATATCATTCATTCAATTCTTTCGGAAGCCCGGCAAGGCTCCGACCAATTCCAATTCATCATATAACTCAAAATTATTTACTCGGAGCTTAAGCAAGCATACCAGGATCAATTATCAAGTCTTAACACATTAATAATTCTTACGTTATTAACTAAATTCAAATTAACAGTCCAAGGAGGTTAAGGCGTTAGGGTTTTACCACTCGGGGAAAAGGCTAACGGTTCGAAAGAGGGCTTGGTTTAACTTGGCCGTGTACGTGGAGGGGCTGTTCGTGGCTGAGGAGGCGGCTTGTTGCGGTGGCTGTGGCTTGCTGCGGTGATGAAAGGCTGCA